TAAACGGCTGCAAAAAAACTGAATGCCTTTTCTCGAAATCATTAAAATTGACGATGATTGATGAGTGAGATCAGTGTGGCAGTGATTCAAACAATAAACCAGTTAATTATAACGCAAATATTTCATACGACAACCGGAAGACATCAACTCCCAGCGGCCAGTCATACTCATACAGTTACTAACGCGTTATTTTTACACTTACCAACTTACAGGAGGAGATTTCCTTATTTGGAATAGGAAAATAATTGTGCACCATTTTAACACATGAATGAATTGAGAGGTAAGTACACATTTATTTTTGTGGACTTAAAAAGAAATTAAAATTTTGTAGAACCGTGTTTGTGTCTCAGGATCGGATCAGCAGTGTTATTCTGTAAGAACAAACTCAGATTTACCTATGACTCCGCGGTGTGACTTGAAAATGGAACACAAATTTCAAATCACACCGGTGGATTCCGCGATGAAAATTATTCTTACAGAATAGCACACTACCCTATACTAATAGGTGTTTCTGAAACTTCTCGGTTATGTAAAATTACTATTTTAACATTTAAAATAAACGTGTTTTGTTCGTGATTATGCAAAATAAACCTCCAAAACAATGAGTTTTGGAAATATTGCTAGCACAATATATTTATTGTTTATATTGTATATTTTTATCATACTTCTCCACGAGTAAAATGGGTCTAAAATGTTTTTCGTCTACCTCATAATCTGGGGTGTCATTAGATAGGTCAGTCCCAAATATAACGAGTTTGTGTAAAAAGTACGAAAATATGAATATGACATCCATTTAATTGTTGTCAAAAAATAATCTTTCTGGTTTCCACATAAAATATGGTAATCGATTACTAGAGGCAATAAAGACTTATAGATAAGAGTATGGAACAAATTAGAAAAAAGTCCCGCTGTGTATGGTGTTCGCATGTTTGCTTCTCTAAACTAATACCTATATAAAACAGTAGTGTATAAAAATGTAAAATAAAGTTATAATACCTTTTTTCCTGTGTCACGAAAAGAAATATTACGAACAACGTACCTACTAACAATATCGGAAAACTTGCTCTAAATATACTGTTTCTCAATATAATACTCAGTGAACTCAAACCTCAAACATGGGGAAACTAATTTGTTTTTTCAGGAAGTTGTACGAGTGAAAGTTGTTAATGCCTGACCTAGTAAAGGTAGGCTAAAAGGTCTACGTTCTTTGGAGCAAACGCTTTGACATTATTAATGAACAGTAAAAAAGAAAACACACCTACCACCTGTAAAATAAATACCAATAGTAAAATTACGCGTGCTAGCCCGGCTGGCGAGCGTCTACGAAAATATACCATGACATCATGGTGTGCGAGCGAGACATCGGCCTCTCACGTTCGTATAAAAGCATGAATTTAAGTGCGTTTACTTCAGTACCGTTTTATTGTGGACGGTGTTCACATACGAACCTGAAAAGTACTTTCGTATACTTAATAAGGAAATAGCTCCGAATAAGCAAATCTTGAATATAAGGGCCACTTGCAGCAAATTTGCTTAATCTCGAATCAACTAAAACTAGATTCATTTCAATTTGACATTTAATATAAATCTAGTTTTAGTTTAATTAGTTTGAAGAGCAAAACCATTTATTTCGATAACAGCTAAGCACAGTCAATTTGTAGTTTTGTATGAAATATGGTTCTTTAAAGCGCCTATGATATGGTTAACACATTCAATTTGGAAAAAAATAATCAGTTTTGTATAACCTGACATTAAGTCGACTGTAGAGATAGCTAATCAATCACCGTTAGTTATAATTAAATGTAATCTAAATAAGTGTATTTTTAAAATTCCGTTATTATCCTGCGTGTCGTCAATTATTTCACTATAATACCTAATAAAGAAAATTAAACGATTTTATTTTAATTTACATTCTTACATCACTGCTATTATTGTAATTTCAAACAAAAATACATGTCACATTACATCGCAAATAGACCATTAGGGTTGTGTTTATCAAATGTGGCCACGATCTAAAATGAGAAGTTCACGTTTTCGTATGGATAACGGCTTTTAATAAGAATAATAAGCCCATAGCTATAATCTCCCTTAAATATAGAACAATAACAGATACATAATGGGTATTACTATTTTAATATTCATCTTTATAAAAGGCACGTTAAAACGATTCTTCACACGATATACGAGTATTTAATCTTTAACCTCCTTATTAATAAACGAAGACTACACTTGGATTAGTTACTCTATTTTTTGTCTCTGTCAATTGAATGACAAATGGCATTTGAGTGACATGAACAAAACACCGCGTAACTAGTCTAAGCTTATTCCTTGTTTATTAATAAGGGGGCAAAAGTGATGGAAGGGCGGAAGGTCGAGGTAACTCTCCTCATTAGTGGTTAGCCATCGTCTACATGTATAAATAAAGCAATATTACCTAAAACTACTATTCTGCTAAAATCCTACGAAGAGTTCCGTTCCATATCTCCGAAGTATTTGATCAGATCATGTTAAATTTTTCTACGGGACCTCCTCGAGAGTATATTCTTGAGATTAGAAAAAAAAATCGGATTGCGTGACAAATTTATAAAAAAACATACTGTCTAAAAGAGAACCTCCTCCTTTTCGAAGTCAGTTGATAAAATATAAACAACAAGAGGAATAGGTACTAAAACTCAACTATAACAATTACGAATCGAGTTTGATTTACTACGAAGGAATAATGAGTTCAGGAGAATGATCTAACAAATCAAAATTACGCTCATCAATTAAAATTAGTACAGAAGTTAACCACTCCAATGGAACATACAAACAAATTGCCAAAATCATACACTTTTGACTGCGTCGCATTTGGTTAAAACATATAACTAAGTATATAATTTTAGAAACATACCACATACAAAGGTGTTAGATTTAAATGATATTCAGATTATTAAAGCATGTTAAATATTCCAAATTCCAATTGTACATTCACAATAGTCAATAGTAGAGGAGCTCAAGCCCCTTGAAGTCTCCAGTGGCTTTTGTTCAAAAGACTGATGACTTGAACGCGACCAAAAGTCATGGCCGTTTGTTGATATTTTTTTTGCTGCCCTAAACGCTCAACTCCATATAAAGGGGTCAGTTATGGTGGGAGTACTTCACAAAGGGGCAAGGTTGCCCTTTGCCCTCATTCTGCCGCGCTCGAGAAAATCCAAAATCTCCGCTTTTGCTGCTCTACTAGAATAAACACCAGATATACGAGTACATGTAAATAAAAAAAAGAGATAATAAATAACCCAGTATGTAAATTATAATATATTATTATGTTATGTATCTACGTAGTTATTAATTTAATGATTAATAACGAGGTTGAAAGCCTCTGTGATGGCAAGCGAGCTTTTGTATGCGTGTGACGTCATTCTAAAGTTGTTGACCCGTATGTTGGTCTGCGAACCATTCATCGAATACATGTATCACCTCACCTGTAGTTGCCAACACCATGTTTAGGACGTTTCGTTTCCCCTCACCAGTTAGTCATTATAAGTAAGTGGAATTCGACTAATCCTAACCGACAATGATTTCATACCCTTCATCGTTAGTTTCACAAAGTTCAATTACTCGACAAAAGGGTAAAAAAACTTTGGTTTCTGAAGATTGGGTCTTCTTTTTCACTTATACGGACATAATTATTATCGTGAACTATACAATAATGTGCATTTAAATCAACAATTGATAAAGCGACGTAATTAGCGGCATCACCTTCGGGGACCTGGGTAAACAAGTCACCATGATGTCATACTGGTGTTGTTGACCCAACGGATATACGACTGCCGCTATTTGAAGCGTGTTTCGCGGAGCGAACCTTCTTGTGAAATATTTAAACTTTGAAGATGATTTTTAAGCATAATTTGCATTTAGTCAGTCACACTTCTGTCAACCCGTTCTCTACTCCTGCAAGGTTTTTCGCTACGTAACATCATTGTCGTACAATACAGTATGTGTATGAGTTAGTTGGAGGTATCAATATACTATTTATTTAGTCACATTTTTTTATGTTAACTTTCTAATTATTAATCTGTACCTAATACCGCAAGCTGAGTTAACTTAAATAGAGAAAAAGAGTAAACAAGTTTGTACATTTTTCTGAGCAGATAATAAATACTAAGGACTCAAATGAAGAAATACTTTCTGAAACCATTGTAGATGTAGGCAACAACAGCGGGGTGGTAGGAACTCATGTCAAATGTGGCGTTATTATGCCAACTTGACAATGGCGTGCATGGGCAATGTATTGATTCGTGTGTATCGTACCAAATATTGGACTTATAGTAAAATTATGATTTTATTTATTTTTTAAGCATTTAACTGCTAGATGATTAAATCTAAAGAAAAGTTTACTAGAAAAAAATCCACGCGGACCAGGCAGCGGACGGGACTCGAACCCGCATCCTTCGCTATCCGGGCGAATGCACTGACCATTATGCTACCACGGCCCTATTAGCCGCGTCGAAATTTTCCTAGCCTTAAGCTGCAAGGCAGCGCCATCTCTTCGCATTGTAGGTAACCCACAATGTCAAATGAATACTTTTTCAAGCATTAAACATTTGAAAGAAGAAATAGCAATTATAGTTATGATTTTATTTATTTTTTTTTCTTATTTTTTATTTTTTTTTCTAGTAAACTTTTCTTTAGATTTAAACATCTAGCAGTTAAATGCTTAAAAAATAAATAAAATCATAACTATAATTGCTATTTCTTCTTTCAAATGTTTAATGCTTGAAAAAGTATTCATTTGACATTGTGGGTTACCTACAATGCGAAGAGATGGCGCTGCCTTGCAGCTTAAGGCTAGGAAAATTTCGACGCGGCTAATAGGGCCGTGGTAGCATAATGGTCAGTGCATTCGCCCGGATAGCGAAGGATGCGGGTTCGAGTCCCGTCCGCTGCCTGGTCCGCGTGGATTTATAGTAAAATTTTTATTTATTAAATATACTAAGTAATCTTATGAAATGAACACTTACCTAGCGAGATTCCCCTTTAACATCACCGTACCATTCGGCGCAGTGGGCGGTTTGATATCATATTCAACGTGTTGCATCTCATTAGGCGGCGCTTGCTGCATGGAGTCGCACACGAGAGGTTCCATGCGACAGGAGATAGGGGTTCTCCTTGGAGGTGTCGCCCGTGGGTAGGTGTGATGGTGTCGAGTACCGGTGGTGTCGACCACCTCCGCACGCCGCTGCTTGGGCAACGTCCTCGCACAGAGGCTGCTTGCAGCATTCTTCAAATGTGTCCGCAATCTATTATTACTAGCCGTGCTAAGGATAGCACTTTCCATGGTAACTGGCTAACAGCACTTCACTTAGTGTATATTCGATTCCATTACTCTAATTTTACTATTGATTTATTAAATTTATCTGTCAACTTTTCATATTTTCGCGTTCAAAGCACTTGGTATTATTGGTATTATGTTCCAGCGAGAACTTTTAAATCCTTGTTTTTATTTTTTGTGAAATCACAATTCGCTTCTTTTAGTTCGATATTCGAAATGTCTTTGGTACAACAACTTCGTACACTGTTCATTTCCGATCTTGAATGAGCAATACAACTAAGTGTTTTGCACAGGCGAACAAGACAGAATTTCCCGATCAAAGCTTTAACTTCACTACTTTAGTCTCAAGTTATTATAACAATGTAAGTCAGATGGTCATAAGTTTCAGTTCCATTTTTATGTTAAAGTGATTGTTGCAAGTCATTGCGGCCTACGTCATCCTATAATATAGAAGCAGTCTGTTAATATCTTAAAAGGTGAAGTTAATTACAAGATTATATTCTAGATCGAGGATAGATTAATTAAATTAGCAGTTGTAGAGCTAAGGATAATAATATCAATGTGTTATTTTTGATCTCAGAAAATGGTATTAGTCGCGGTCTAATTCGGAAGATAGATATGGTTGAGTGCATGTGAGGTACTACTAGCGTTTGCTATTGGATTGCTGTGGTAAATACTGTTTGACAACTATTGCAAGAGCTTTTATGATTGTGTTTGGCTATGATCGACAACGTCAACATGTACCTACTTCGACTTCAAGACTTTAAGCCGTTATAAACAATATCACCAAACTACAATGACCCGACCGGGTAATGGTGATCTCAGAGACAAGTCGCCCTATACCTATTGTTTTTTTCAAGTACTAATGCCGCATTGACTAAGAACACCCTCATGAGGTGGCGCTATATAAATATATATTTTTTTTTATTAGAATTTATTAGAAAAGTATAATATTTATTAGATTCCAACAAAAAAGATATTTACTAAATCTTCTTAGTAGAAGATTTAGTAAATGATTGAACAAATTTATGACTATCAAGATTCCAAATCAAGAGAGAACATAAGCTAAGCTACAACCTTGAATTTCACAGAGTCGCTGACCAGATGACCGCTATTAGTCAGATGTACTAATATAATATATTATACTTATCTAATTTGGTGCTATTCAAAAACATTGGTGATATAATCTAAAATCTCACTATTTCTATAGATTACTATCTTACACCACTGGACTGGATACCAGATCTCCCAAATACCGTAACTCTCATGTGATTGCATTCAGTCAGTCGCTCATTTATTGAAGAAAATATAATTTATAATAAATATTTCCAACACTCACACCAATTAGCCTAGCCCCAAAGTAAGCTCTGTAAGGCTTGTGTTATGGGATGCTAGGGTAACGGAAAGAATACATATACTGTACATATAGAAGTATATTTATATATAAATACATATTAAACATCCATGACTTGAGTACAAATGATCGTATTCATCACACAAACATCTGCCCCCACCGGGATTCGAACCCGGGACCTCTCGAGTTGGCAACACCATGAAACCCGGCGTACAAACCACTCGGCCACCTACAAAAAAATACTATATTGCATGTATGTCAGCATAGACTTATCTGTACTTTTATATGTAAACTTTGTCTGTCATCAGGTGAAATTTCAAATCAAACGTAATTCCATATACGTCGTGTCACCTCTTTAATATCAATGGGTTCGACACACAACATATTGAGGATCGAGAAACGCAGGCTTGCGGAAGGCTCACAGGCGAGGAGCGAGGGAGGGGGGGGGGGGGAGTGTAGGCGCGCTGACATCACCGCCGGAGCCAGCCGATCTTACATCACCCGCTGCCTCCCACCGACTGACAAGCGGACAAAGTAGTGCTGCACTCTTGTCCACTGACTAAACAATCGCCAATCGATCTTTACTATTGATACAAATATGACGAAATTATTAATTAAGTAAGTCCTGCACGAATACAGTTTCGAATTAAAGATGAGTTGTCTAACAGAACTGAAACGGAGCTTTATTACTTAGTTAGAGAGTAGAGTAGTTGGTTTAACATTAGTTATAAAAAACTTTCATGCATGCGTAATGCTTATGCTACTCATATTGAAAATGTGAAAGTTTGTTACTTATTCATCCAAAAACTACTGAACTGGTTTGGATGAAATTTGGTATGCATATAGGTAGTTTATGACTTAGATTGCGACATAAGAGATACTTTTTAGAAAACGTCAGGGGTTCTTAAAAAACTAAAGTTATTGCGCACGAAGTCGCGGTTGGCCGCTAGTCATACAATATTATTATACCATAAGCAAATCAATTAAAAATAATCAAACGTACTTATTTTAAAGATTACTACATACTACACTTTAAATTTATCGACAACAAATAAATGCGCACGCAGGCACTGTATGAAGAAATGAATATATTTGTGAACGATGATTTTGTATACAGTGCAGTGCACCTAACTAAATACCTATAAGCCACACTGACTTAATCTATATTAATATCATTCATGAGGCTTAGAATAGTTCTTAAACATTAGCGGTGATCAAACTAAATGCGATAGATCATTGAAAAAATATTTTTAAATAAAAAATTAAAACCGATTTAAAATAAGTACTAAAATATAACAAAAAAAGTAAAAAATATTCCGGTTTACACAAAATCGGGCAGGTCGTGTATGATTTGGAAGTCGGGGGAGATTGAAACACTTACCGTTTAGACACCTACCCCGATTAGAAGTGAAAATATATTTTTGTTTAATTTTTATTTCATTCATTTTAGTGTTTAAGCGCCTACACATAAAAACGCCTGACACAACCATACACAAATTTTCGTATAAATTACATCGTCCAAGTCAACAAAATGTTCATAAAACAAAAAAAACTAGGTCAACCCGAATTAAATTTTTATGAGACCAAATGGCAACTATTGCGTATCAAAAAAAAAGAATCATGTAAAACGGTTTACGTACATAAAGAAACATACCGGCCTACACAGCCATACAAAAAGTATCGTGTTAATTACATCGTTCTTATTAACAAAATGCTCATAAAACACAAAAAAACTGGGCCAAACTGAATTAAATTTTTATGGGACTAAATGGCAACTGTTGCGTATCGAAAAAAAAAGAATCACGTAAATCGGTGTACATACGAGCAGACCCGTCTTTCCCAGTGGGCACTTTGAGCAAGTGCCCAGAGCCCCGCGATCGATAGGGGGCCCTCAGATCAAATACAAAGTCCCTAGTTCCTGTTAAATCACCAAACGGGGGTCATAGGGGCTCCATTATCCTAATATGCCCAGGGCCTCCAATAGGTCAAAGACGGCACTGCGGCCGAATTGAGAACCTCCTCTTTTTTGAATTCAGTTAAAAAAATATTATTCTTTATCTTGTAAAGGCAAATGTAGAGATGGAAGTGACGTTCATTATGTATTGAAAGTAGAATAGTAAATATTACGTATATTGTTTAATACAAAAGTTCATCGGCAAAATATAAGCGGATATTCAGCGGCCAAGGCTATAATCTTCGCCCACGGTTGCTTATTAACCGATTTCATGACAATTAATAGACAATTGCCTTAATAGGACCTGCCTTTATAAGCAGCAAAAGGACACATTAGTACCGACGAACAAAAAACAAGTTTTATACAGCAATGACGGAATATTCGACGATGATCTGAATAGTGGTTACCGCATTTGTTAATCAAGTCTTCAACGAAAAGTTCATCAGATCAGATCACAATGGAGTTATCCACGTAGAACTCGATGACCCTTTTATTGAAATTTTGATAAAGCGAAAAGTTTGGTGTGTCCCATATTTCCCACGGCAATGATGTCAAATTGACTGAGTTATCAATCAGTGCAAAGCGGATGCGAGCGGTGTCGCCGGCCGCGACTAGCGTGGGCGGTGTTTTACTGAACGGTCCACTTCATGACGCTATCTTAATAGAAGGGCGGGATATACTAGGCAATTTAACAGACGAAATGGGATTTGCAGTTGAGTATTTGATGTAGCTCTAAACTGTCGCCGTTGTAACACTTTAATTGCAATGACCGACCGTGAAACTTTAATTGTTCGATGTTAAATCGATTTTGTGTGAACCATGCGAATATAACAGTACATGCATCATGAGTGATGCAGACGCGGATGTTGGTGATAAGTTTGAGAACATTTGTTGGTAAAGCAAAAGCGTCGCATTCGTGCCTATTGCACGTTAACAATAGCGCGAGGTCGGGTCTTTGTGCCGCATCGATCGTGTTCTCGTTTAGAGAACGGGTTCAAGACATCCTCACAATAATATCATCAAAGCTAAGAGATTTTTCATAGAGCTTCTAAAGTGGACCACAAAGAAGCGGAGTTCGTGAACACGATGAAACTGTCAGAACTAGTTTTAAACCATATTGAATGCCTGGGGAACGATTCAGGACGTAAGACTTGGTATTCACGCGTTATATTATAAAGGCACAGGCCGAATAAGCTAATAATGATATTATTATTTATAGTTACAATTTTTATTTTTTAAGCATGTAAACTGCTTGATGTTTAAATCTAAAGAAAACATAACTTGAAAAAAACTAGAAGAAAATCCACGCGGACCAGGTAGCAGACATTGTGGGTTACCTACAATGCGAAGAGATGGCGCTGCCTTGCAGCTTAAGAATGGCTAGAAGAATTTCGACGCGGCCGCGGTAGCAAATTATTTATTTTAAATAATTCATAAAAGTATTTCAATGGACAGACCAGAATTACATGAAATCTATTATTATATAGGTAAGTAAGAGCGCGACAATCTGGCAACTAATGTTTGCGATTAAAATTTTATATCATTCAGTTAAATAAAAATCGATTTCTACAAATAATACATTTTCTATCTCATGTTCTTTCCTTCCTGCAAAAATCCCGTTTTTAATAGCAATATTGTGTTACTGTTGAATAAAAAACAGTTACTCTGTTGCCTCTACATTATCTGAAAGTTATATACCAAAAACACTTATTGAAAGTCTGCTAGTAGAATCATAGCAAGTGAAACAATCAACTAAGGACGATCTTGAATCGCATGTGGAATAAAAATTTAGAGGTTAACAAAAAACGGACGTATGACTGGTTGACTGGATAACAGAACACTGACGTCATTACTGTAAATACTACTTCAAGCTCTATTAAACATATTATAACTAGGAGAACGAACAACCATGTGTTTCTCGAACGCTTATGAAAAGTGTCGAACATGCATTTTGTTTGGACCTGCTCTAGAACATTATTTTAATGATTCTTTTTGAACAAGCCATAAAAGGTTGTGACCCGACCCTGATAATGATAATGACAAACATAAATTTTATTATGAGCAGTCAGAACAGAAACATGCACACATTATTCTTATATGGGTACATAAAATTATTGGTTTAATTGTATAAACCTATTACCTACTTCTTAAAACATAAATTTAGCAAAAGAGCATTTGACACTTCAAGCAAATCAGCAATTTCTTCTTAGAATGAAGAAGCTAATAAGTGTACAATTTATAGTTCCGATTGTAATATAATCTTAATATATATAAATCTCGTGTCACAATGTTTGTCCTCAATGGACTCCTAAACCACTGAACCGATTATAATAAAATTCGCACACCATGTGTAGTTCGATCCAACTTGAGAGATAGGATAGTTTAAATCTCAAATTATAGTCGCAATTTTAATTTATTGCAAATTATTACTTTTGGGCGGTACGAAGTTCGCCGAGTCAGCTAGTGTTATAATAAAACTTAATAAAGAAACATTTTATCTAAACAAGTGTTCCAAGACTATTCATATTAACAATGAGTTCTTGTGATTATTAAAATTAAATGGAAGGCATTCTACATTTTACTGCTGAACATTATGAACTTTGATAGGTAATGGTCATTAATTGGAGTGTTTGTATGACTTCATTACCAGAACAGATGTCAATGAAATAAATCACTGTCAAACATAAATCTTGAAGTCGCATGACTTTGCTGGTCATTCAACTTGAATCATGTGTGATAAATAGTAATTAAACCATTATTTCATGAGCACAATGCGTATTTTTCAATTTGTATAGGCAAAGTAGGTGCTATAATGTTAGCCAGAATTTCGATGACAAATATTATTTACAGAGATAGGCAGAGCATCCAAGGTGCAACACAACGAGTAAGATAAAATATGCATACACCTATATCTACATCATAAAAATTAGCTATGTTTTCCTAGTTGCATAACTGTCTGAGAAATACCTTCATTCTTGCACCCCAAAAATTAGGATGAGAAAAATCCAGGGGCGGGGCGCTAGTATAATATATATTGCCCAACCAAACATGATCAGAATCAATATTTGGCACTGTTTCAGCCCAACCAATCGCCTACCATACCACATTAGGTTTTTGATTTTTCTGAAACAAACCTTGGTGTAATAACGGACAATATACTAACGACGGAAAGTAAGAATAAGTATCTACTGCATTTTTACTGCCAGTGCAGTACAGGAAACTAAAATTAAAAACTTAATATATAAATAGCAATAAACTAAAATTAGTAGTTTGAGCAAAATATAATTTTGGTATTATGCCGATTTTGAGTCCGATAATATTTACGTGACCTAAGCAAGTTCAGTTATAAATTGTCACAGCACATCAATCAAACTCTATTCAAATACTCATTTCAATTTATATACCATGTTGTAATTAATAATTTTTAAGTCTGTTATCAATTATTTACTACTAACAGCACAGCGTTTAGAATAAATGAATATCACCATCGAGCCACAATTCATTATCTACGTGGTTTCGTTACCATTATGCAAAATATTCGATCAATCACAACATGAGGTACCTACAATACAAGGTAGGCATTACGAGAATGACGTAATGTGACTTAGTAATTCTTTCTTAACGAATTCAGTATATTCAAATTGGTAATCACTTAATTTAATAACTCTGTTCGTAGTTCCTACAGCTGATTCAATAGTCTATCATATTTTCACATATCTCGCTCCTAAGGGTTATTATGGGCAACTGCTTTTTGAAGCATTTACCAATAAACAGTATTCCACGTTGTTAAAACCGACCGAAAGTCCGATACTCGCGTCCTTGGTATATTGCCAACTAATGCGTTACCGCAACACTAAACCAGTGATAGTGAACCTAACACAATAAATATCAAAACCACATGTACACACACATCTAACTACATCAGTATCTGATCAACATAGTCCTAAAAGTCCTCAAAGCCGTTCGATAGCGCTCGGTACTTATAACAAAATCGGTATGTGCCACAAACAATATCTATATCCAGTAACATAATTAATACCTCCTGTTTTGTTCACCTGTGCAGTACGAATGAGAGTTTTCCACAAATATTTACACAATACCACTGTTGAACATAGACGTGTCTGTTAAATTAACGAAACTGTAAAATGTTCTATTACTGTCACCGCGCATGAACCATTCTGTGGGGCTGATCGCGCAGCACTGGTAACCGGCGAACGATAGTGAGTGCGCGACCCTATTGCCGGTACCACGACACTAAAGTCAACATGTAACATCGCTATTGTATCGCTACAATTCTAACGGGCGTTACTTCACGCAGCACGAGCAATACGACCAACCTATTGATCAACTAAAAAATTCAACAAAGGAGTAATAAAGCAATTCTAAACTGTAAATCAATAATTGAACACGGCAAGTTAAATACTGTTGTACACAGTATGCATTCAGAGGAGAGTTCATGGTAAGGGCCGTTCGTTGTTACCTCGCTAGGCGCTGATAACGAGTCGCATATATAACTAGCAGCACACACAGAACTACGTATGCCTGTAGCTATTAGGTAAACAAATCTTTGTTAACATACCTACTAAATTTAAATATTGTTACATCGCAGAAAATAAAATCGCGGCCAAGAATCTGAGATGAAGAAATATTTCTTTCAAAATATTCACATACTTCGACAAAAAAATATTTTATTGCAATTAAATTCCATTAAGTAATTATAAAGTTTCGTTAAAACAATATAAATAGCCAAACTGAAAGGTAAGTATTTAAAATTAATAACACTATGAAACCCGGAGTTTGAATAGACTTTAGTTAATAATTATGGAGTCATCATAAAACTTTTTTATACTTCAACACTATGATAAAATTGATTGGATGTTTTTGTCCTCCGCGGACAAATGTCCCTCATCTGTGAAGAATATTATGATTACTTAGTAAAAGTTTAAAAAAAATCTACAAAAAGATTTGGTCTCCCATATTGTAACAAATGTATGGTTTTCAGGTTTTTGCAGTTTAAATTTCATAGTTCTAGGACTTCTAGGTCAACGGAGAGCACCCTATCAACATAATCGGCCGTATCCTTTTTTTAATTTAACTTAGAAGTTTGTTTTTTCACCGCTTCAGGGGAACGTAGACCATAGTATAGGGTTTAAATTTCAACAAACGCATCCTCTACGGGTTTCCGAGATAAAAGGCCTAGGTTGACAGACAGACGGACGTACAAGGGACAATAAAGTGATCCACTTGCACGTAAATATTGAGATAACAAAATAATTCAGAGATTATCTTGCACGAACAGAAAATAACCCTGGGTTTACTAACCCAACAATTTTATTTTGCATGATGGCAATTATTATTTCAGTCAATTTCAAATTCATTCCCTCTTCTTATAACTGGCTAAATACAAAAGAATGTATGACGAATGACATAAGTATTGTTCTCTCTTTTACACAACAGTATCTTGCATGTCTCTTTCGTAATGTCAAATTTGAAAGGACGTGGTGTATTTTGGCGTTTAAGTTGAATGGCGTCATGTAATTTGTCTGTCAAATAGGTGTTTGCATACCGATTGCATGATGTTTTTAATGTACCTATTTATCTCATAAGTTTGTATTTTGTGACAATAATTTCGTGCGTGTACCTATTTATCTCGTAAGTTTGTATTTTGTGACAACAATTTCGTGCGGTTTTATTTTGTAAAATGGAGAAGAAATCTGGATTACCTGCCCAGAATTTTACAAGTAGTGATAGTTTACTTCTATGTGATATTTTATACAAATACATATAAAATATTATTGAAAATAATAAAAACTGACGGCGCCACTCTTCTTCAAAAACAAAAAGCTTGGCAGGATATAATGGAAGAATATAATGCTGTTACTACAACTCTCCGATTAAAAAAATCTGTACTCATATAGTCGACAATTTCTTCGTCATCATCAGAAAACAAAAAGTCATCCATCATTCAGAAATAAATAAAATAAAATGTTATCTCTATAAAAACACACAACACAGCCTATAATAACCTTTAATCATTTTGACGTTGTAAACCTCGAGTTAGAAATTTAACCCTACAACTTCGGCGGGTTTATTATTAAATTATTTAACCTATGGCTTAGTGTTAACTCTTGGCAGAGCAAGAAAATTTGTTTTTAACCCCAGTTCAATAGTTTACTCGGAGGTAAATAAATTAACCCTGGAACGTGCAAGTGGCCCAAGGGTTCCACTTCTTCCTTTTGAGGTACGGAACCCTAAAAAAGATTTCAACAAATTGAGAATCTCTTTCGTTTTTAGAAGTCGAACTCTTATAAACAGAATGGCAATATGGCCCGCCTCATGGTAAGCGACCGCCATTTCATCTTAATGCTAACTTCTTAACTGATATTATAAATAAATAATAATAATAAATAAATAAATATTTCCAAGACTCACGCCAATTAGCCTAGCCCCAAAATAAGCACTATAAGGCTTATAGGATACTAGGGTAACGGATAGAATACATATACTGTGCATATGTAAGTGTGTTTATTTAGAAATACATATTAACAAGTCAAGCCTGGAGTACAAATGCTCGTATTCATCACACAAACATCTGCCCCCACCGGGATTCGAACCCGGGACCTCTCGAATCGGCGACACAAAATATTATAAATGCATAAGTTTGTTTGTCTATTTGTTACGCTTTCACGCCTAAACAACTGAACGGATTTGGATGAAATTGGTACGGCATATACATTACTACCTGGATTTAGACAATGGATACTTTTTATCCCGGAAAAGTGTTAGGTACCTGGAGGATTTTCAAAAATTAAAAATCAAAAAAACCGACTGTTTAAATATTACTACAAATAAAAACAGAAAAGAAAAAAGTCCAGTAGTCTATAATTCTGTTAAGTAAAGTTCCGTTTGCGAAATATTTAAAGTTCAATATTTCCAAACGGATCCCTAAATCAAAAAATAGTCTCAAGAACATCTTAGTAATTGTAAAGAACCTATTCAACGATATCCCAAACGATGGGGAAGATAATGAAAAAAAAATCATACCCAGGTTACATGTATGGAAAAATAAATATTAAAAAAAAAATATCTACCATTTTGTCGGCGTGATCGATGTACATATCTCCATAAAATTACAGCTCTCTAGTGCTAATAGCAAATAGTCTCCAAGCAAAACCGGGGACGGACAGGCGGACATGACGAAACTATAAGGTTTGTTTGTCAGGACTGCGGAACCCTAATTAAGAAGTGTTATACTCTTTCACAGAAAAACTAAAAAGGTCTAAACTCAGCAAAAAGACGAGCACTAGTTCGTAATATAATGGTTACCGAACATAACGTACTTTGGAACTAGACAATATTAATATGAATACCTGTTAAGTCAAAATGTCATTGAAATCATTAGACTTCGATGACTCGATGCTTTGCATCATAAATTATTTAATGTCTGCGATAGGGCTGACAACTGTCTGCATTTCGGTCGTGTTCGGCCAAACAATTATGTGTATTGCTTTTGATAGGCTTTTCGTTCTATGTATTACTTGCACCTTCCGAAGCACAGAAGAGCTCGAGATAATAATTTTTCGTCAGCCATCCTATGACCGGTAATTGCGAATGTTGCGCTAAATCTACGCCATCAAGTGCATGGCGAGGAATAAATAGGAGACAATGCTAGGCTTTTTTTCAAAACGCCCGATTTAGACTGGGTCAAGTCAATGCTAAATCCGTTTTCTCTACTTTAGAAAATGCCATCTTATTCCCCTATGTACATGGAATGTGTGTTTTCAGATCACACCTTCGGTACTGGAAATGTGCTCTAACAATGATTTTTGTCATCCAATCTTGGTAACAGTTTTCTAATCCAATATTTTCTTTCAAGATGTTTGTAAACTTTTGGTAACATTTATGTTACCTACTACTGATTAGTCAGTCAGTCAAATGAGAGAGTTGATCACACTATACCTTAAGATCATATCTTGTCTAAAGCCTTTATAAAAGTCAACAAAAACGAATGGCACCACACAGCACTGCTTTATTAATGACAATCAGAGACGATACTTACTCGAGTTTCGATAATTATTCAAAAAATGTTTTTTTCGAACTTTAGTGTCTGCCACATTTAAAAGAATGGATGGTCAATTTTACGCTACCAGCATTCTCTGCTAAAATATTAGAATACTTAGTATATGTTTTACTGCTTGCTTTTGATAGTACAAATACAAAATAGTGATCGTTTGTGAATAAGACAACATTTAAATAAATCCAAAAAAACATTTTACTAGAAAAAAATCCACGCGGTCCAGGCAGCAGACGGTACTAGAACCCGTACCCTCCACTATCCGGGCGGATGCACTGACCATTATGTTGTCGAATCGAATGTCGAATTTTCTCTAGTATTTCTTAGGCTGCAAAGCAACTCCCTCTCTTCACATTGTAGGTAACCCACAATGTCAAATTATTATATATTTATATGTGAAAACTTCATTGGCTAGTAGTTAACTAAATTAGATACCATGTACAAAAAATAGCTGTAAGTTTTCCGAAGAAATAAAATAATAAAATAAAATAATATTGACATCCATAAACACATCAGCTTTTATCAATTGGTTAACTCATAAGTGCACAGTGATGTGAATGCTGAAACTATAAATTTAATTTGACAGCTGTCTCTCCTGATTCTCTATAGCACATGATAAATATATTATACTCTCAAATTTAGTTTAAGATTAAGAGTATCATGACAGAATTAGGCACAGAACACAGAAACCTCTTTCTCTGTTCTGTGGAATTTGGTATATTGCCAACCCTACTTATCAATATCCAGACTATTCAAAAGACCACAAGACAGAACAATTTTTTTTTTCGAATTCGTATATTTTTATCTACAACTATATAAATATTCTAAGCACGCTATTACGAGAATGATTTGGTAAATATTTATATGATTTTGGCAAGCTCGTTTGAATCATTTATTCTTACAGACGCAACGATTGCCAATAGGAATTGATGATCACGTCCAAAGTTGCATGTGTATTGGTTGTGTATATCTTAATTTTTAAAAATTCTGGATTGGGAG